ATCATAGGCACATGAGATGTGATAACTTTTGCCCTCGATGTGGAGAACCAGAGGAAACAATTGCTCATGCAATTTTCCAATGTCCACCGGCAATACAGGTTTGGGCCTTATCATCTATACCCACCAACCCAACTTTGTTTCCATTGGAGAGCACATATTTGAATATGTATTATCTATTATGGCGGAAAAAGACAATATGTGGGCCAGAAGTAGACATGGATCCTTATCCTTGGTTATTATGGTACATTTGGAAAGCTCGGAATGATAAGTTGTTCAGAGGAATAGATAGAGACCCTCTGAAATTAGCCCGGTATGCAGAGAGTAGGGCTGTTCAATATGGTGATACCGAACCGTATCGAACCGAACCGAACCGAAATAGACAATATGGTTTGGATTTGGTATATACCATATAAACCGAATTGATATGATTTTATAAAAACCGTAGGATTTGGATATGGTTAGGTTTATAACCGATTAAACCGAATAAACCGAACAAAACCGATCAAAGAAAAAAATATATAAATATATACATTATATAACCATTTATTTTCTTGGAATAGTCTTTTTATTTTTATTTTTTTTATACATTGTGAAGATATATCTTAATAATTTTATTTTATTTTCTTCAACTATTATCTAAATTTGATTTTATTTTACATGTTGTAAGAAATTGTGAAATTAGATTGTACCATGTAATTTATTTGGAAGAACAAAGAGAAAATAAGAAAAGTTATACAAAACTGAATCGTTGATCGTTTTGTTTGTTGTTAATTTCACATTTTTATATTTATAATCACCTAGGATTATTTTAATAAATGATAGTTTTGATAATATGTTTTTTAAAAAATTCATATAATATGAAACCAAATCAAATAATAAATGTTATTTGGTATAAAACCGAATAAACTGAAAACCGGTAGTATAAATACCGAACCAAACCAAATTAAATATGGTTCCAATATGGTAGCTAATTTTTATAAACCGAATAACCGAAAACCGAAAAAAACCGAACCGAAACCGGACCGAACACCAGATTGAACAGGACTAGCAGAGAGTGAGTGTCTCGCCTGGTTCCAAGCTAATGAGGAGGAAGGTGTGGTTACACAAGAGAGCGGGGAAACTTATCATCAGGCCATATGTCTACGAGATATTTGTATGATAGACGGTTCTTGGACCTCTATGGAACAATTCTCTGGTTGTGGTTGGGATTGAAAGGATAGCATGAGAAATAGTCAGCTGATGGGGATGTGTAATGTTAGGAGGGTGGAGTCATCTTTGCATTCTAAGCTGGAAGCACTGCGGTGGGCAATGGAGAACATGCTTCAACATTCGCCATGTCAGAGCTTTGGGACGGACTGCAAGGAATTGGTAGCAATGCTCATGAACCCCCATGGATGGCCAAGCTTTTCGACGGAACTGGAAAGGATCTCGACGTTGAGGATTTGTTTCCCTAATTTCAAGATCACTTATGTACCTAGATCGTTAAATGCTGAGTCCGATCATCTAGCTAAGACTGCCCGATCCTTTTATCGTGATCTCATGTATGTTGGTTATTCTATTCCGGTCTGGATTCCCAGGCCACCTCAAGCTTGAGTAATAGATCAGCCTTTCGTTGTCAAAAAAAAAAAAAACTAACTAGCTTTTGATCTGCGCGTCCGCGCGGGTGTTTGTTCTTCATAATCATATATTTTAAACTTTTTGAAAATACGATAAATTTAATTATTTATCCCTCTTACGTTATAGATTCATATATTATTCATGACTGACATTGATATGTATTGTTCAATATGATTAGTGTTATTTATAAACTATGAGTTTGTGTTTTTCTTTTATTGTATTTTAATTTATTTAGTTTATTTGGTAAAATAAACGAAAAAATGTCAGAGATTTTTCATATAAAATTCAAAATTGTTATTGAAATTTTTAAATACAACTATATTATTTAGACAAAAAGTAATAATAATGAAACAAAATTAAAAAAAAAATACTAAAAATGAAAAGATATTTAATTGAAGTTATTAGTTTAGATTATTTGGTTATGAATTTATAATTAAAATGGGCCAAAAATTAGCTACTATGTTCAAATTTTGTTTTCATTAGATTATATATGTATTAGAATTTAACTATATTTAATGGATTAAACCCATAAAATATTAAATACAGGTTTTGTTTTAAAAAAGAGTAAAACTACAGTATTTTAGTGGTATAAAATTGTATTTTTTGAGGAAAACTAAGGGATATCTCTTATTTGTTTGATCCGCGCATCCGCACAAATGTTTGTTTTTCATAATTATATGTTTTTCATTTTTAATAATACCATAAACGTATTTGTTTATGTTCTTCTATAACAAATTTTATTGAGTTTTGACATTAGTGTTTTTTGTTCAGTGTGTTTATCGTCCATTTATAAATATTATATTTTTTATTGTGTTTTTATTTATTTTACTTGGTAAAAAATCCATATTAAAGTAAAATATTAAGTAAATTTTTGTATTTTATTAAATTATACTATGAATATTGGTATTTAAAGTTGCATATAAAGTTCAAAGTTTATACTGAGTTTTTAAAAACAAAACATTGTTACCCCAATTGCATACGATGTTTCAGTAATATTATGCAATTATGGTTATTGTATCTGTCGAACATCAATTTTATTTAGATGGTTTAGTAATGCTATAGTTTAGTACTGGCTTATCTCTATTGTATCAATCGACATCAAATTTGTCTAGTGGTTTAGTCATGTACTGGTTTAGTAATTATTATATGGTTTAGTATCAATCAACATCAAATTTATTTAGTGGTTTAGTCATGTATTGGTTTAGTAATTATTATATGGTTTAATAAGACCAACAAACAGGCGTGTTTTATGTTAGACAGTTAAATAATTAACAGCAAACGATAGAGTATTATTCTAGTGGTATGGGATGGTAATTTTTGAGGAAACATAAGGGTTAAGTACTATTTGACTTCCCTTTTAATAGATTAGATTGGTTTTATAGTGAAATCCCATCTATCTTAACATGGTATCAAAGCCTACAATCCATAAAGTTTAACCTGATCTTCATCGATTTGGCCCGAAGATGGCCCTTTGCCCAAACATTTCGAAATTCTATTCAAAGAACCATCATTTCAAAGGAGCGTATTAGGGATAAAAGTCTCCCATCAGTTGTTAAAAGAGATTCTAAAGAATGTATTAAATAGATAGATACTCTAATTATTACTAACTTGTTTTAGATTAAAAGTCCATCTAACTTAATAATAGCGACTTTGAAATGAACAGGCCATTATTAATTATAATTCATAATAATCATATTTTCAACAAAAAGCCATACCACCACCATTATCATCATACCATAATCATCATCAACTTTCTAGTGATTTGATAATTATTTATATATCAAATCTGTTTAGTGATTTGAATTTTACAACGACGACTTTCATATAAGTTATTTCGTATATAATATTGATTGTGTGTGTTTTTATATTAAGAACTGTGTTGTAGTTGAATTTAGCAACGCATGTTGTATATAATACTTTCAAAGTAAACTAAAGAATAGTTCATAAGGAAGATCGTATGGTCAAACAAAGTATATATATAAAGTCTTAACCTCGACTTTGAACCATTTTCTTTGCATCTTATATATTAAACCAGTTCTTCATGTGTGATTTTTTTTAAAATAGACTATTACTAGAAAGTCATGTTATATTAATTCTCTAATAATCTTATCATTATTATATCTTATGAAAAATTATATTTATAATAAAAATATACGCTTAACAATTTGGTTTTGGTAATTATCCCACACTTTCCAATTTAGTCACGTAAAATATGTCAATAGATATAAATTTAGGAATCTTCTATTATTTATAAGGAACTATATCAATAATAGTTAAATGCATCCATAATATATTAACAAAAATCACATATTTGTAATATGGAATATTTATATACCCTAACAAAATTTACATGCTATATATAGTAGATAAATTTATTTCAATGTAAATTTTTAAAATTATATTGTTTAAAAAAAAGAAATTTTGAATTTATGAAGCTATAAGTTTAGTTTTTAGCAAAAAAAAAATTTGAATTTTATATTATCTTTGCAAATTAAAGTATACTAATATTTAATCAAGCTCTATTTATATTACTTTATCTAAAATGAAATACTAATCTAACAAACAATAAAATATAGAAGAAGAAACAAACACATGTTTGAAAAACATGTATAATATAGAAAATTTATAACAATCTATTTGATTAAAACACGTATTATATAATATTATTATGTTTGAAAAAACATTTACTATACATATCGTAAATATGTGATTACTATAATATATACCAATTTAAAAGTGAAAACAAAATGTTTATGTAACTAACTATAAACGAAAACAAACATCCGCGCGATTGCGCGGGTCAAAATCTAGTTTAGTTTTTATAAAACGAACAATGGCTGAAATATGCATGGTTATTCTCCTGTTTCAAATCTATATATATATATATATATGATGGTTATTTTGTATTTATGGTATTTTAGAAACTTTATGTATTTAAATGTAACAAATTCCATGATGTTCCAAGTTTGTTATCTATTTGAACCAAAATAGTAAATTACTGTCAACCTTTTTTACAATTTTATTAGATTTATGTGAAAATTTTGTGTTTTAGCCAACAAATGAAAGTTAATTTGCATATAAATTTTCAATTATTTACAATTATATATTTTGTTGATCCGTAAAAAATATTCACACATTATTATCAAAGTCGTATTCCATCAAATATATGTACATAACTGAAATTTTATATTCAAATAATTAGCAAAGCATGTTTTATATGATTCTTTCAAAGTAAACTAAAGAATAGTTCATAAGGAAGATTCTATAGTCATACGAATTATAGAAAGTCATAATCAACTTTAAACCATCTTCTTTGTATTTAACCATCACAAACCTCTATTTTTTCTTTTCTATTTCAATGTCTGGGTTTTGTAAAACGAACAATGGTTGAAATACGCATAATGCATGGTAATTTTGTATTTATGGTATCTGACCAATTTTAAGTATTTAAATGTAACAACGTTTATTTTTTTTTTTTTTCCGTCAATTGTTTTTTTAATTAAGAAAAGGGCCAAGCCCATTACACGGCCGAAGCCCGAGTACATCAACAAAACACAACCAAGCCCACTAAAACGGGCAGATGAAAAGAACCAACCTAAACGGGCCTGAGGCCCAAACTTAGAATCCGTCCGTGACCGGTGGATAGTGGGTCAGGGAGGCTGACTCGACACGTGGAAGGATCTGGTTCATTACCGCTGCACGCGTTGGAGCCGCCTCAACCTGACCATCTCCGCCTCTTCACCTCCGGAATAACACCACCACAAAATACGTTCGCCGGAGCTCCGAAGACCAGCAAGCCTCCAAGCGAACCCAAAGCTGTTCTACACCGCACTGTCCTCACGCCGGCGAGATCCATCGAAAGCCTCGAGATCTCCTCCGCCATTGAAACACTTCAAACCCTAGACACGCGACCGTAGGCCGACGATTTCTTTCAAAAAAAAAAACCGTCACTTCACCGGAGAGCATCATCGTCTACGAGATCTCATCCGGTTTCTCAAACCCAAACCTAACAACCACCACACCAAAAACTTCACACAAATCAAACATAATAAACTTTTACCCAAAGAACACGGGTTCCTAAACGGCAGAAAGGAGCTTTGTTAGCCTCCGATCTCCGTAACCAAGAGCCGGCGAAGACGAATCAGAAGGAGACTCTCTTCCCAGAAACAAAAACCGACGGCGATGGAGCTAAACAAACCTCCACCTCCCGGAGAAAACACCACAGGGGTAGCACTGAAACTCAAATCAGGGAAGAGCAAGGTAAAACCACATCAAACAAAATCCGACCGGCATCGAGACTGAAGGAGCTCTCCGACGCCGGCCAGATCTACTATCTCTCTCTGCTCTCTCTTTTTACTATACGGGAGCTGACTTGTTTATAGATTGTTTGAAAACATGTAACAACGTTTATATTTTCGAAGTTTGTTTTCTATTTGAACGCAACATAGGTAATGACCATAAAAAATTGTATTTCAAGGAAGATTTTCTTTTTAATTAATCTGAAAGTATTTTATATTATAAAAAGGTTTAGACTAATCTCCAAATGAAGATGTAGTATATAGATAGACTCTCTCTCCAAACATTCAAATGGGTCCTAAAATATGGGTTCATATCTCCTATTAGATAACCAGAAACTATTAGGTGTCCAAAAATTATGGTGACTTAATTTTTTGCAGCATGTTAGTCGAAACTGAAGCATTTGGTGTTTACCATTCGACCACAATCATCCAGTTGATTTCTGTAAGAATTTCATGTTTTAGCCAGAAACAAAAGTTAACACTCTTATAAGTTTCCAGGTATTTACCTATATATTATGTTGATTCGTCAAAAAAATCGCATTTTTTTACCAAAGTCGTATTCCATCAACATCAGTTATACTACTATCTTCTGCAGTTACCCGTTAGGTTTTTTGTCTTTATATATTCGTTGTATCTGCAAAGTGTTAAGACTGCAGTTTTAAAATCATGTTTTTTTTTATCTGTATTTAGCAATCCTTTAGGCTGCACTTATCCTCAAAATACTATTTAGGATGTAATAGTAAATGTCAAGTGAAATTACCCATACAATAAAACAAGTAAAAAACAGTTTACGAATCAAAACGTCTAAATTCAGAAACGAATCTCACTATTCACAATAAAGTCGACACTATACTTATCACAGCTTTGATAAAGCAAGAGACCATCCTTCAATGTTTAATCCCAAAACCAAAAAAAAACATTAAATCGTTGTCGCGGAAATTTTCCGTTGCATCTTAATCATGAGAAACATACAAAGGAAATTGTACGAAATAAATTTTAACAAAAACAGATGTGGAAAAACTGATGTGGACAAGTTAAATATTGCAGAGTTCTGATTCAATAATAATTTGTAAGCCACTGAACCTTTACCCAAAATAGATATTGTCCAGTCCGACCAAACTGCCAGCTCAAACTCGATCCACAATTCTCGCCACGTATGTCTCGCCGACATCAGAAGTGTACTAACCATAGGTTTTTCAAGATGCCAGAATAACATGTTTCATTCAAATAATAATACAAATTTTTTTTATATATTCGATTTGGCTTTATGTATAGATTCCAAAATATCGTTAAAATTTTATAAATAAAAAATCCATCAATTATTATGCCTTAGTTATTTTATAAAGACTATAAAATTTACATCATATAAACAAGAAATACTAGGAAAATATGAAGGAAACATACAGGTTAATTAGTTTTTAGTAAAAGAGTGAATTATGTGAATATAAAGGAAACTTTTAGTTGGGTGTCATTTTGGCAAAAGAAAACCAGAGACGAGAGAAGAGATCATGTTTGGAATGTTTTTTTCTTAGATTTTGTCAAATAAAATCGTTGCATTTATTATGTGTATCAGAATGTACTCACCCCTATACGATTAGTCTATATCCAAGTTCAGTGGCCAATTACAGTTAGAAACAGTCACTCACAATTTCTCTATTGTCACATTTCCAACTACAACCTTACCGATTGACATAGAGTGTAACATCTCTTGGAGAAATCTTAAATTCCAAAATGGTTTAAAAAACAAAATAAGTTGTGCTGTCAAGATATCCGTAATATCATTCTGCAGTACGAGTCAATATATCTAAAAAAATTTGAGTAACGATAAGTCTATGTCGTCGGTTCATTTAAGAGTGATGCATCATCTGTTTGTAGAACTTGACAATCCGCCAAACGCTTCGCGTCAAATGTCATATTGTATTTATCTTTGTGTCCAACTGTACTCGGCCATGGACGGACCTAGCTACACATAGAGTATTTAGATGTGCCTTCCACATATGCCACTTGAATAACATTTTATTTTGATAGAGGTCGATCGTTTTAACCAATGATTCTAATATGGTTTCACATTTTTCCATTAATTTTTTCAGGTTCTTGTCTTCTATATTTGACATTCCTTTATCCCTCTTTATAATTTCTTTCTTTCAAATTTTATTTTATATTAAAATATTCTTTAACTTATTTTTATTTTCAATTCTAAAATAAAGATGTTTGTTTATATCAAAAACTATTTTGAATAGAATAAAGTTTGTAGACACCGACATCATTATATGTCAATACAAGCTATAATAATCATATTGTCAATAAAAAAATTCAAATTAACTTTTATCAAAAGAAAAACTTTAAATAACAAATCAACAATCACTATCATACATGACAATTAAAAAGAAAGGATCTATAATTGAAACACATGCGTATTTCTTGTTGTTGATAATACGTATAAGCGAAAAAAAAAAAAACAAATAAAAACAAATACGTATTAGTCACATACACAACTAAAAACAAGTCATTTGCAACGAAATTAAGTTATCGATCGGTGAAAATTAAATACCATTAGAGGCGTTTTATCTCTCCATTTTCTTGGTGGGTATGAAAGCAGCTTGAAACATTGGTTCAGGGTGTTCTTAGTTTCTCCGCCACCCATATCTCTAAATATGTGGAGATATATAGCCTAAGATACAAAAAAAAAAGGGAGATATGTATTTTTTTATTTTTACTTTTCTAAAATTTGAAAGATATGTATATTAGAGAAAGAGAAAAAAAACTTTAAGGTAAACTTAATAGGAAGCTTTATAAAAGAAAATATCACTTAATAGGAGGCTTGTCGACCAATTTGTAGTTGATGCTACTCGATCGACGGATAATCTAATATTTTGCTTTTAAATTTTATATTAAGAAACTATAGTGGCTGTGTTTTTTACCAAACAGCTAAACCTAAACATGTTTTTGTATAAGTTTTTACCAGAAAATATTTTGGTATAATATTCTTAAGATCTTCTCTAAAATATTTGGCATCAATATCTAAGTTTTACTCAGACGTTTGATTAATATTCCAAGTGAGTAGAACTGCAGCATTGCGTTTTCGTAGACCTCTCAAGTACGAATATAAACCTAAACCTAGTTTGTCAAGTAATACGAAATGTTTGCAACTCCGTGAAATTAAACCCTAGGAAAACAAGTTATTTTGTTATCGTGGATAGTTTAACTAAATAGAAAGCATACTTTTAGTAACGGCACTAGTGAAAAATAAATATGCACTAGACATTCAACAACTTGTGAAAATAATAGTACTCATGAAATGGTACGAAATGTTGTAATAATTAGCAATCGGCCGTGGAGTCATGGACCAAAAATAGAATAGCATAAATAAAAGAGCAAGAGAAATAAACTAAGGACAACCAGAGCCGTGCATATATCCATTTTACATTGTGGACTTCTTTCATTCAATAAAATAGCAGTTTTATTCTTCTTACGTTGGTCTATTGTAATATTATAAATTATATTATATATATGATTTTACAAAAGACAATCTTATCTTTTTTTATTAAAAATTTTGCTGACTAAAAACCATAAGTTGATCATTTATATACTCACACCTAACGATTCTATTTATCAGTTTGACCCGCACGTTTATGTGAGTATTTTCCATTGTATAAAAATATGACTTTGATAATATAGTAAATATTTTAAATATATAGAATTAATAATTTATATTTTAATGTTATATATTGTGTAATTCTATTATCTTATTTGTTCTTTTTCTTATTTTATATTATTAATATATAATGACTTGTTTTATAAATAATTTACTTCGTGTTTAATTGTGATTACATACTAATATATTTTTTAAGTTTGGTACAATAACTTGGAATCTAAAATAATTGAATAGAGCTTCTCCTTCAAAATATTTTTTTGTTACTAAATCAATGCATTATTTTATAAAAAAATATTTAAATGAAACTACTTTTTAAAAATAAAATAGGATAAATATTTGAAAATATTTATCTCATTTAGTCATATAGTACGTTTCTTTTAATATAATATATATATACTACAATTAAAAAACTCATAAGAAATAGCATATAATTTTGTTTTTCGTTTTGTAATCAATTTTTAATTAACATTAGTTTATAATAATATTTTTTGGTAATTACGAAATTATTTAATGCATCATTTGATTAAAAATACTTAAAAATTTTAGTAAGATTTTGCTAGATTTTATCTTAATAGATTTTGTTATAACTAAAACCAATATTTAAATATATATATATATATTATTTATTATTAATATCTTATGAATTATTAAGATTTTCTTAAAATTTCATATATTTAATTGACTATTGTAAATAAGCAAATGAGTTATATTAATGAAACTAACCTAGTATAATTTTTATGGTAGATAAAAATAGTGACTCTATTTTAATAGAACATATTAGTTTTTTTTTCTAATTTCAAACACAAACTTCTTAGTGTAGAAACATTAAAACTTCTTAAATCAAACCAATAGAGCAAAGAGATTTTTCACCATTTGCACAGCAGCTTATGTATCAAAATAAATTGAAATACAGCAATAGAATAATAGCTCAGGGCAAAAGAGGCAAAACCTGAAGCCATATCTTTCCATAAATACACCCACTCACCATCTATGCACATCAGCCACATCCCTTCTCTCTCTCTCTTTCTCTAACTCTGTGGAAGCTACATAAGTATATACCGCATAAAAAAAAAAAAAACAATGTCGACAGACTTGACGGAGGAGGAGTCCTTGTCCGGAAAGGATTACCAAGACCCACCACGTGTGAAGATATTCGAGGCGAGGGAGCTAGGCAAATGGTCCTTCTATAGAGCAGTCATCGCTGAGTTCATAGCTACTCTCCTCTTTCTATACGTCACCGTCTTGACAGTCATCGGCTTCAAGAGCCAGACGGATCTCCAAACCGGCGGTGGAGCCTGCGCCAGCGTCGGCCTCCTCGGCATCTCTTGGGCCTTCGGTGGCATGATCTTCATCCTTGTCTACTGCACTGCCGGCATCTCTGGTCTCTTTTCTTCTCTATGTTTACTCTTTTTACAAGTTATAACCATCTGTTGCATCATCTCTATACATGTTTTATTACCATCGACCATATAGCTCATTTCATCTTCAGATATTTAGCAGTTAAAACAATAAGTTTTCACAAATCAACTCCATTACATGATTTTCATAGTTAATTAATGAACATGCATCACAATTCAAGGCTCTTAAGAGACTCGTAACAAAGAAACAATATTCCAAAATTTGACTTAAATGAAATACAATGTTGACCACATATACCACATGTGGTACGAAAACATAGCTTTCTACAAAATTTATATTCCCACCGGTTTCAAAAGATTTTTTCACGAAGATTGATGTTTTCTTCTTCCTATATGTAATATTAATGTTTCATCTCGCACAGTACACCCATACAAATTAAGTTCAATTCAATGTAAATTTTACTTAAAAATTACTAATTTAATTAGGTTACATTTTATATTGCAAATATATTCTTGGTGTTTTTCAAAAATATATATTCTTAAAATAAATCAGTTAGTTTACTTGATCTATCTGATTAAAAACTAACTCTCACTTGTATTAGCTGGTTTAATGAAATTACAAATCAATATATAGGTGGGCACATTAACCCTGCAGTCACGTTTGGGCTATTCTTGGCTAGCAAGGTGTCGTTGGTGAGAGCTATATCATACATAGTGGCTCAGTGTCTCGGAGCCACTTGCGGAGTTGGATTGGTGAAAGTCTTCCAGAAGACTTATTACAACCGTTATGGCGGTGGAGCCAACGTCCTCGCGGATGGATACAACGTTGGTGTTGGTGTTGGTGCTGAGATTATCGGCACGTTCGTCCTCGTCTATACCGTCTTCTCTGCTACCGACCCCAAGCGTAATGCCCGTGACTCTCACATTCCTGTAAGCAATTCCAACTTATTCTCTTTAAATTTTAATAGAAACTAGAACCGCTGATGTTTAAATATTTTTTTGTAAAAACACAAGTATTATCTTTAACAAGAAGTATACACGAGTGTTTAATTTCACACTATATAAAAGTATCTTCAATGATTAGTTCTAGCATGAGTTTCTCATAAAAAAAAATCGAATTAAAACAAAAAAAAGTATGGAGAGAGAATGTAAAAATAAATAAAAAGAGGTCTCTTATATGAAAGTTCCAGCAAAAAACGAAAGACTGAGAGCCTATATATTATGAATTGTCTAAAATTTTTAACTTATAAATTTTAATTATAATTAAGTTATATTAATATTCTTTGTTCTAGATGTCCATTTACCCTTACCACCAAGGATGCTCTAAGTATTTACGAAACAATTAAATGTGTACTATTTTTACAGAAATAAAAAGTTGTTAACTCAAAATAAAATGCATAAACTAACATTTAAAACTACATAACAAATAACTAAAACTAAAGATGCTAAGTATTTCGAACTAAAACTGATAGTTTTCTTTCTCTTCACTTATTTTCAACAAAATATAGTACTAGACTAGTGATGGAAATCAAAACTGGAAAGAGATATCAGGATATTTTTTGATTCCGTTGTCGCAATTTTGGACCCAGGGACGTAACAAAATCTAGTGCCAGCTATATAAAGCACTATTAATACTGAAAACGATGACTTCTAACCATTTTGGCCTAAACGAAGATAATACGGACCAAGTAATAATAAGTGTAGCGTCTAATTTCTTCTATGAGAACACGACAAATAGGAGTCCAATTATTTTTCTTTCATTTCTTGTATCTTTCTAATGTCCTTTCACGATATAACGACATAACATCTTTGTGATTCACGTTAAAAAAAAAAAAATCTTTGTGATTCACGTCCCTTCATCACATTCACATGTCTTTGTATGTAATATGGTCCACTGTTCACAACGACCCATGTGTTATGTGTAATGTGTAATATGCTCGTACATGCATGTTCCATGATCTTAACATCTTTCAAGTATGATTTATTACGTATGAACCAAATGTTTGGCTTATATGTAACATTTTCCGCACTCAGTTACTTGTTTACTCTAGTAATATGTGTGCACATAGCTCATTCAATTAATTTTTTTTTTTGTTGAAATGAATGTGCTGAAGGTATTAGCCCCATTGCCAATTGGATTTTCGGTGTTCATGGTTCATTTAGCCACAATCCCAATCACTGGAACAGGAATTAACCCGGCTAGGAGTTTTGGAGCTGCAGTCATCTACAACAATCAAAAGGCTTGGGATGATCAAGTTTGTGTTTACCACTCTAATTAATACTCGTTGTTGAGCCCTAATTAGGTTATGAATGGAGTTATAATTTCTTATAATTAATTTGCAGTGGATCTTCTGGGTCGGTCCATTTGTGGGAGCAGCCATTGCAGCTTTGTACCACCAGTTTGTATTGAGAGCTGGTGCTATGAAGGCTTATGGTTCAGTCAGGAGCCAGCTTCATGAGCTTCACGCTTAGAATTTGATTTTTTTCAAATTATCTAAGAGGTGGAGATTTATTTGGGCCAGGAAGGAAGGAGAAAATATCAAAATAATAATTAAAAAAAAGAATTTATTGGTGAGTAACATTTAGTGTCTTATTTGTTGCTTTGAGGGGGAGGTTCGAGAGTGACTTTATAAACCAGTTTGCATTATCCAAGCCTGAAGAATGTATGTTTTTATTTGATGTATTAGTTATGTATTTGTTATATATATTTGATCTATTTGTTATATATATTCTCTACTTATCGATGCTTCTATTTGATGAATGATATGTATCATAATTATAAAATTTATTCTTCTTTTTCTACCCAAAAAGTATATATTCTTCTTTAATACCGTTTGCTTCCCTCAAAAAAAGTACTGTTTTCATATAAGTTTAAATACAATACACAGTTTTCATAAATATTGTCTTTCAATAAGTTTTAGGGTAAACATAAATAATAACATTTACATTCAAATATTTTTAGACATTATACAGTAAAACCTCTATAAATTAATAATGTTGAGACTTTGAAATTTTATTAATTTATAGAGATATTAATTTACGAAAGTTTCCTTATTTAGATTTTTTTAATTTTTTTCCATTTTTATTTATAAAATAAAAAAATATTTGTTTTAGCATATGTACATTATGTAAATTTGACTTTTATATTGTTTTATTATCTTATTTGGTGTATATTTTTATGTTTCATAAAATTGTTACATGGTTTTTGATATAATTTAACTAAATATTAGCAAAATATATTGAAATGTTTAAAAAATAAAAGTATTTTAATAGTAAATATAAAACCCCTAACTAAATATTATCAAAATATAATGAAATGTTCAAAAAAATATAAAACCAACAATATAATGTTAGATTGTACTTATATAAAATTATATATAGTTAGATTATTAATTTATGATTTTAGTGGGACCATATATTTACATGGTAGTTTTAAAAATATTATTATCTTATTATTTTATCGATTTGTGTCATATTTTACACTGGCCTAAGTTGGGACCATTAAAATTTTTTAATTTATAGAGATTATTAATTTATCGAGTATTAATTTATAGAGGTTCTACTGTACTTAATTGGGACTAAAGTTTTGAACGAACCAAAAGCTACTTTTCTTGGTTTTCGGTGACTTTTGACATATTAAAAACTTTGATCATCGTTTGGTTCGATTCAATAACTAATTAATTTGGGTTTATTTCAGAAAATTATAATCAAATTATATAAACTTTAACCAAAACTCTAAATATATCTAATCATTTTTAAACTGAAAAAAATGAATTTAATCCAAAATTTGACCAAGATCAAACCAAAAACCAAAAACCAAAAACTGAATAATTTTGTTAAAGTTTTGAAAAAACCGAGATAAACATAACACTACCAAACAAAAGTAAATTATTGTTCGATTCAATTCATCAAAAACTCTTTGTCGAAAATCAAAATAATCAAAAACTAAATTAACCAAACCAAACTAATCGTTCAAACCGAACCCACAATCCTACTTATTAGGAAACAAACGTAGAGAGATCATGCGAGAACATGCCACCGTTTATACAAAACATAAAAGCCCAAGATCTTAAAACAAAGCCCATTAAAAAGATTCCTCCACAAAGAGAAAGAGAAAGAAAAGTATGTAGTAGAAAAGAAACCCACCTCCTTCCCCCACTCTCTAGAATCTCCCCCACTCTAAATTAACCAAACCAAACTAATCGTTCAAACCGAACCGACTTTCCTACTTTTTTTTAGGAAACATGCGAGAACATGCCACCGTTTATACAAAAAAAAGCTCAAGATCTTAAAACAAAGCCCATTAAAAAGATTCCTCACAAAGAGAAAAAGAAAGAAAAGTAGTAGAAAAGAAACCCACCTCCTTCCCCCACTCTCTAGAATCTCCCCACCATCTCTCTCTTTATCACTCACTCATTCCCCACCAAAACCCTAATCTCAAACCAAAAAAATGGCAGCCGCCGCACCACCACCACCTCCAACAGCAACCCCAGAACCAAACATGAACCCCCAAACCTCCACCATAGGCCACCCTCTCTTCTCCCGCATCCGCCTCGCCACACCTCACGACGTCCCCTCCATCCACAAACTCATCCACCAAATGGCCGTCTTCGAGCGCCTCACTCACCTCTTCTCCGCCACCGAATCAAACCTCTCCTCCTCTCTCTTCACCTCTCCTCCTTTCAAATCCTTCACCGTCTTCCTCCTCGAAGTCTCCCGCTCCCCTTTCCCCCCCTCCTCCCTCTCCCAAGACTCCTTCACGCCTCTCCTCAAAACTCACAACCTCGACCTCCCTATCGAGGACCCGGAGAGTTACAACTTTACCCCGGATATGTTGAGCGACGTGGTGGTGGCGGGGTTCGTGTTGTTTTTCCCGAATTACTCGAGCTTTTTGGGGAAGCCGGGGTTTTATATAGAGGATATATTCGTGAGGGAGCCGTATAGGAGGAAAGGGTTTGGGAGGGAGTTGTTGAGTGCGGTGGCGAAGCAGGCGGTGAAGATGGGTTACGGGAGGGTGGAGTGGGTTGTGCTTGATTGGAATGTGAATGCTATTAGGTTTTATGAGCAGATGGGTGCTGAGGTTCTTCAGGAGTGGAGGGTTTGTAGGCTTACTGGTGATGCTCTTCTCGCTTTTGATAATGTTAACATCTGAGAGAACATTACCACTTTTGGGTAAAAATGTTTGTTGTTGCTTTGTTGTCTTTTGTGTTTCTTGTCTTGTAAGTGTGTTTGGCATTGATGAGATAATGGATGATGATGAGGATTCTCTCTGCCACTTGACTCAATGATGATAATAATAAAGCCTTTTGTTGAATGAAACATGTGAAGTTTTAAAAAGTAGAGATGTAATTTTTGATTCTTTATCGTTTAGACAGCTTGTGATGTTGGTCACAACGAGGCACAAGTCTTTAGGATGTTGCCACTATATATAGATAGAGAATTGAGAAACTGGGGACTTGGAGAATAAATGAAACATGCTGTCAATAGTTATAACCAAACATCATTCATGTGTTATAAGACCACAACAAGGTTACTTTAGGTTTCTTCCGGAGAGCTATAAACATCATTCATCTGTAACTTATAAGCATTGATGATAATGAGAAAGAAAAACTTTTGTTGAATGATTCAAAAAATAGTTTAGACAGCTTGTGATGCTCACAAATTTCTTCTCAGGCACAAGTCTTTATAAGATGGTTCCATGAAACATTATGTCAAAGGTTATAATATAACAAACATCAATCATGTATCATAAACTCATAAGACCACAACAAGAAGTTTACTTTTGGTAATAATAGTAAGACGTTAATAAAACAAATCTCAGCAGATGATTACATGGTGTAATTAGAAGGTGATTGTTTGGGTAGAATGTGTATTAGTTGATAACGCGACAGTTTCTACGAATCTCACCACCTTCATCACCAAGTGTAAGGACCTTTATAGAGCTCATCTTGATCATAGACCGACCAAACTGCGCAAGAAAGCTTCCAGAGTTTTGGAAAACACTAGCAATGTGAGCTGCGGAGGGATCAGTCAACAAGGTAGCGTCAGAGGTAAAGAGTCCTTTGTGTTGGAGGAGAGAGATAAAGTAGCCACTATCGAAGGAGAGTGCTCCTGTGGGGTCCATTCCGACCACTGCGGATGAGTTGAGTCTTTGAGATTTGTCTGTGCACTTGGACTTGAGTAAAGTGGCGTAGCTTGGGTTGAGAGAAGGATCTGAGTCCCCTTTTCCGGTGAAGTTCAACAGTCTCCGACCAAACACACCGCAACGTGCTGTTCCTATTGTGTGTGCTCCTGTTTTGTATCAAATTAATTTTTGAAATAGGAGTTATTAATCAAGAAACAGAATTAAAATAGAAATACTAATAGCAATTACCTATATAAATTTTCGTTTAATAAAATATAATTAACGTGAATACATATATATTTTATTTGTCAACCAATATTATAGAATTGTGGAAAAAAATTACCTTGTTTATTAGTGAATTAGTGAGTAAATTACATGATAAATACCAGATGATTTTATAAGAAAACAAAAAAATCAATGCTGAACATTATCACGTGAGACGTGTCTTCCAAGACTATCCTCAAATATTTTATGTTCAAAATATATTCTCTACTTTTAAGTATAAACGATATATATTTGTACAATATCTTGAAGATGGGAGAATTAAATTTGTAGCATATGATATACACTTCCTAACATGGACACGCACGTGGTCTGATGATATTCCCGCGATTTTCTATATTTCATTGTTCCCTATTTCATAAGTATTTTCTGACCAGTCGTATGAATATTTGGTACACACATATGATTACAAAAGATAAAAGTTAGAAAATAAAATGGTAACCTGATAAAGCCACGAGGTCAACGACGTTCAAGTCGCTCTCGGCAAAGAGTTTCTGTAGAACGGTGAAGTTAGCCCCTGCGGACGGTAAGTCTCTGGTGGCCTCCGTCGCCAATGATACTCTTCCATCAACACGTCCCGTAAACACATTCCATAGCGGCCTTCCATACTATAACATCATTTTTCCAAAATCAAGAAATCTCAAATTTCTCAAGTTTTGATATATAAAACCATCTAAATCAGAGTTCATAAATAAACTATTCCAAGAATCTTCCAAAGTCTAGATTCTTGATTTTATTCAGCAAAGCGTTTATCAACCACTACACTACTATATATTGTACATTACTATAAAATTGTTTGATTAGTTGACTTATATTTTCATATCATGAATATATATAGAGAGACGAGTTTGCTTATATTACTTGGTACGAGACGGCATCACGGGCAGCTAGGGTGAGAATGTCAGCGCAGGAGACGACTTTGGGGCATCGTTTCTCGAGAACGGACTTGATCTCATCGATGATGTCAAACCCTATAAGCGAGAGGTTAGGTCTCGCTTCCTTCTCTGACGCGTCTTTTCCAGCAACCGAATCTAAAAGCAGTGACGCATCACACCCCTAGATTACATCAATGGATCAACATTAGAGTCTATATGTTCAGGAAATGAAAAAAAAAAAAGAAACAATACCCTAACAAAGCAGTCATGGTAATGAACCCTCAATAACTTGGCAGCCAAGCTAGGGTTTGCTTTGACTTTCTTAGATACAATCTCGTTCACGATATCCTCAGCTTCAGGACAAGTCTTGTGATAGAAATTCATCTTCAGCTTACTCTCCCATCTTCCTTTTCTCGTCGTAGGGCCATTGTTATGACCATTTTTATGACCATTGCTGTGACCGTCTCTCTTACCATCAACATAAAGTATGACAGCCAAAAACAAAACATGAGAAAATATAAACCGAGCCTGATTCTTAGCCATGACTCGACTCTAGAATTTTATGTTTGCTTTGAAGTATCTGTGCTAGTTGTGTTTGAGGAAAGCACCTGCCGTGGCTGCTTTATAGTGAAGCTGACGATAACACTCTCCGTTTTTTTTGTTCAAAGAAATTGAATAATCATTGAAATAATTATCAAGTAAAGTTCCCTGCATGTGTTGTGAGAATGAAGGATTAATTATTAAGTTACAAGTCAACACCATTTAGAAAATATATAATTCCCACAAATCATTTAGCTTCATTAGCTGAACCATAACATGAACATCCATAATTTAGATATATTATGGATTTCAATGCTGTCTCCAGGACCAGTTTACATTAAGTCAGGCAATATATAAACTTTTATACTTTCACTGTCCTCTGAAACTTTAATTATCAAAATCTGTTTAGACAGTTCCTATTTCAATGGGCATGATCACCTTCTCCTTTGCAATAGACACCAAATACAAGTGCTTATCACCTCAATACTGAAATACAAAGTGAGTAATTGAACTGAAGAGTGGCTATGACCATTTCCCAACAAAACTATAACCAGGATGTTTTGAATTAACCAGTTTGTGAAAAATATTATTGAGTTTCACAAGTCTACCCTAATAAATAAGTTAAAGAAGTTAGATTGCAGACAATATATTACATTGGCATATCTACGGCTGTTCTTAGTCTGGTATACCTTTTAGGTGCTCCAACACTAAAGTTTACAGTATACGACAAAGTAAGCCACAGTCACCACAAAGTTTTGTTACTACCTTAAAGCTTTGCAGATTCAACTTGTGTTGTAAAATTTATCAGCGTCGAGCTAGCAATGTCTCTAAGAAAACCTGATACAGTTTCGCAATGATTTTTTTTTGCAGATGCGGGTAAGTAGACTGGATTGGTAGATATATAAGTTGTTAATATGCCGTTTTTACATGCATTGGAAGTTTGGAACTATGCTCCTTAGGTGATACAAGCACCTGGATCAGCGGCTAACACCACATAACTAAAAATACTTATTTTGAGTTTTACTGATATCAGATTGTCCTTCTACAACTTAATTCAGAGGAAGTAAACTAAACGTCTTCGCCACCTTTTAACTCCTCTGATTTGCTCTCCTCGGAGACCAATGAATCTGGTTGTTCAGCAGAAATGGAGTTTCCCGACTCTGGCGGTGCCTCTGAATCCAAGTCAGCTGATTCTGACACGGGGCCCTTGGGCTCCGGTTCGTCTAAACCACCAACTGTTGGATCCTCCGTTGGCAAGCTTTCTTCATTCTCTTTCTCGGAACTTAATGCTGAAGACAAATGCTCTTCTTGCTCCTTTGATTCTACTTTCTCCCCCAAGACACCAAGGGCCACATTATCTTCAGAGTGGTCACCTGCATCACCAACTTTTCCCATTTGGGTGGCCTCCTCAGTTTCAGCTAGATTTGAGGACAAATTCTCTGGCTGTACGGAAACATTTATACCGCTGGCTTCACCATCAATCATGTCTCTATCGTCCGGTGGGTTCTCGGCCTTGTTCTCTTCCTCTGAACTTAAGGCGGGCGATAAATGCTCTTGTTCATCCTTTGATTCTTCTTTTTCCGCCAAGACACCAGTTGCCACATTATCTTCAGACTGATCACCTGCATCACCAATTTTTCCCATCTGCGTGGGCTCCTCAGTTTCAACTAGATTCATGGATATATCCTCTGGCTCAACTGAAACATTTATACCGCTGGCTTCAGCATCAATCTTGTTTCCCTCGTCCAGTGGGTTCTCGGCCTTGGTCTCTTCCTCAGAACTTAATGCTGAAGACAAAAGCTCTTGTTGATCCTTTGATTCTTCTGTCTCCTCCAAGACACCAGTGGCCACATGATCTTCAGACTGGTCGCCTGCTTTACCAACTCCCCCCATTGGTGTGGACTCCTCAGTTTCAACTAGATTCCTGGACAGATCCTCTGGCTCAACTGAAACATTTATACCGCTGGCTTCAGCATCAGTTATGTCTCTGTCGTCCGATGGATTCTCAGCCTTGTCCTCTGAACTTAATGCTGAAGACATAGGCTCCCGTTGATCCTTTGATTCTTCTTTTTCCTCCAAGACATCAATGGCCATATTTTCTTCACCAACTTTTCCCATCTGCGCAGGCTCCTCAGTTTCATCTAGACTCTTGGATAAATCCTCTGGCTGAACCGAAACATTTCTATCGCTGGCTTCACCATCAATCATGTTTCCCTCTTCCTGTGGGTTTTCAGCCTTAGTCTCTTCCACTGAAACTAATGCTGAAGACAAATCCTCTCCTTGATCATTTGATTCTTCTTTTTCCTTATCTTCAGACTGCTCGCTTGAATTACCAACTTCCCCTACCTGTGTGGGCTCCTCAGTTTCAGCTAGATTCATGCACAAATCCTCTGGCTGAACCGAAGCATTTATACCGCTGGCTTCACCATCAATCATGTCTATATCATCCGAAGGATTCTCAGCCTTGTTCTCTTCCACAGAACTTAATGCTATAGAAAAATGCTCTTGCTGATCCTTTGCTTCTTCTTTTTCTCCCACACTAATAGCTACATTCTCAGACTGATCATTTGCATCACCAACTTTTCCCATCAGTGCAGGCTCCTCAGTTTCAATTAGATTCCGGGACACATCCTCTGGCTGAACCGAAGCATTCATACCGCTAGCTTCACCATCAATCATATTTTTCTCGTCCGATGGGTTCTCGGCCTTAGTCTCTTCCTCTGATCTTAATGCTGAAGACAAATGCTCTCGTTGATCCATTGATTCTCCCATCTGTGCAGGCTCCTCAGTTTCAACTACGCTCCTGGACAAATCCTCTGGCTGTACCGAAGCATTTCTACCGCTGGCTTCACCATCAATCATGTTTCTCTCGTCCGATGGGTTCTCGGCCTTAGTCTCTTCCTCTGAACTTAATGCTGAAGACAAAAGCTCTTGCTGATCTTTTGATTCTTCTTTTTCCCCCAAGACATCAATGGCCATATCATCTTCAGATCGGTCACTTGCATCACCAACTTTCCCCATCTGGGTGGGCTCATCAGTTTCACCTAGATTCCTGGACAAATTCTCTTGCTGAACAGAAACATTTGTACCGCTGGCTTCAACCATGTTTCTCTCGTCCGATGGGTTCTCGGTCTTTTCTCCCTCTATCACTGGTAGAGACGAAGGAGGCTCTGTACCTACTAAAAATAAATTGAAAGATATATTTACGCTTCGGTTTTGCCCCTAAAGTAATTATGCTAGAAGATGTGTCACTGAATTAATGAACGTGCATACCTCCCACTTGCTCTGCAGAGAAAGGCAATTGAACTGATGCCTCCACCATCTCTGTGTCAGCGGTACTAGCTTCTCCACCAAGTTTACAACTGTCAACTCCTAGAACCGACGCAGATTCTCCAGAATCTTGTTCTGCATTAGCAGAATCAGATAGAGGACTACCATAATCTTCGTGAACAAGTGATATAGAGTTCTTAATGCTAGTGTGGGTCTTTAGTTCATCAGTGTCCGGCATCGACAATTGGATTGCAGCCGAACTTGGTCCAACATTGCAAACCTGATCTTCCGGACTCTCACCTTGTTTACTTTTTGCCTCGACCTCTTTACCCGTCTGATTTGTAGTATCCACATGTGAAATTTCATCACTTTTTGCCTCGACCTCTTTACCCGTCTGATTTGTAGTATCCCCATGTGAAATTTCATCAATTTTCATTGGAGATCCTTGAGATTCCTCATAACTTGTCGCACGTTCATGAGACTCAACTGTGGCCTGCACAGTCATCTGTTCCACTGGAATCAAAGGGGTAGTTTCTTTTTCATCACCATCGATTTCTTCACCCTTAACTTCAATAGATAGATTTGTTTCTTGCTGTTCGGTTGGCAAAGGTTCTGTAGTTGCCAACGGTGCAATAGACTCAGGTAAAACATCTCCTGAAGACAGTTGTGCCAAAGAAGAATCCGCTTCAACACCAGGAATCTTGACAAGGTCATTTTTGGCATCCACAGACAACTCAGTGCCACCATCCTTGTTTGCAACCAATCCAATCGAACCACCGGACAAAGGTTGAGTAACATCTGAGATCCGATTTTTCTCATTGATCGGAAAATGTGAAGACCCGGGACTGTTCACATCACAAGAAGTCTCTTCAGTCACAATCTGGTCTGGAAGAGCTCCCTCTGTACTAGTTCCAGAAAAGTTGATGCCACCACCAATCGCAGAGGAATTTGTAGGAGTAATGCGACAATCCAAATCAGCACCGCTGGATTTACTGGTTTCAGGTGACTCCGGTTTCTTTGGAGAACCATGTTCATTGGATGCTGAAGGCATTTTCGAATCTTCAACAACACAATCAGAAGAAACTGGAACAGTTTCCGAGGAATCAGTAGATATCAGTCCAACATTTTCAGTCACCTTCATTGCTCGAGTAGAAACTGAAGGTGATGTAGATGGCCCTGCCTGTTTATTAGTAGCATCAGAGAAATCAGCTTTAGGAGTTGGGAGGCTCTGCGCATAACCATCATTCTGAGGCTCCGGTGGTTGACTTTCTTTGTTTATCTCAAGCAAATCCTCGTCTACAGAGCCTTTAGAATCAACGGGGACAGTGCCTTGAGCTGGTGTATCATCATACTGATCAGCAGGAGACTTAGATCCAGGTGAAGGTTTTACAATTTCATGGACCAGCATAGATGAATCAGAAATTTTGTTTTCTTCTGAAACGTTGGGAACAGATGCTGCTATTTGTACGTTTGGATCAGCTGTTTTTGCTACTTTCTGTTCCGTCTCAAGCAACTCTCTACCAACAGGACGTTTTGAGTCAACGAGCATAGTACCTTGAGGTGTTATATCATCAGAGTGAGAAACAGAAGCCTCAATATCAGACGAAGCCTTAATGATCTTATCAACCACGACTGAAGGCTCAGACATTTGGGTTTCGACTGAAACACTGGAACTGATTGTTTCTACTCCCACGTTATGATCGGCAGGTTGGATTATAACCTCTGCGTTGCTGGTCTTAGCTATGTGCATATTCATCATTTCCGGGGATTTTCCATCCGGTTCATTTGTTACCGTTGTTGCAGAAGGCTCCCCAACTTTATGCTTCAACAGTGAAGTCTCTGAAAATATCTCTTTCATGACACGAGCAACATCAGTCACATCAGCAGTTGGTTTCCTTCCAGTGCCACCAATACCTGATATTTCTTTTCTTTTTTCCTGACTTGTACCGGCAGACGAGTGTGCAACTGACGGGTTGAAATGGGGTTGGTCTTGGATAACAACATCACTCTTGTTTCCAACTGATGTAATTTTGGATCCTGATGAATCACCAGCCTTAACCTCAATTTGTGGTGTTGATATAGTACTCCGTGCAGAAGAGCCATCAGCAGCAGGTGAAGCTTGAGCATGTCTCCTTCCTCGCCGTCTAGGAGTTTCTCCTCTGTTTGGCGTCTTCCGACCTTGCCTCTTCACAGGCATGGGAGCAGGAGGAGAAAGAACGCTGGCGCCTTGAGCTGCAAAGAGGACAGTGCATAACCAGTATGAAACTGTTAAATTGAGAAACCAAAACAGGTTAATTTAGTTTCGATGCTTCAAATATTTGTACCTTCAACTGTAGAACCAACAAGGTGCGGATTCAATGGCTGATTAGCATTTAAAGGTGCAGTTGTGTGACTTTGAGCTGGGCCTGCCAAAAGAAATTGATGCTGTTAAGATTCTTGTGAACAAAATCTTCTGATGCACGTATGTGAAAACAATTATGCGATGTGCTAGTTATATACCTAAAGCCGTAGAGCTAGTAGCGCTTGGTATATTAAGTGGCTGTTTTAAAACTCCTGAGCCCTGGTTATTTCTCAGATCTGGAACAGCAGGCTTGTTCTTTATAGCAGCTGCTTTATTTACCAATGAATCCTCCGATACATTTAGCGGCGGAACATGTGATCCAGAACCAAAACCAGGCGGTGCATCTAGATCTGCTGCCACGTCTGGTTTGTTTCTAATGCTCTGCAGGCTACTTTCTTGTAGGGAGATGGCAGGAGAGGGCTGCACAGCAGTAGTATCAGAATGCATGGAAGGCCCTGGCTCAAGATTCGAACTACTTCCTTTAATAGGCTTAGGAACTGCATCAACATCAACAAAAGAAACGGGAAGAGTTACTAAATTGGACGATACAGGATCACCAGAAAGAGATGCTCGGGCATTAGTTCTCTGAGTACCTATAGAACTGTCAGCACCATGCAACATATTTTCCACTCTCCTTCCTCTTCCTGCGCCACGTCCCCTGCCTCTTCCCCTGCCCCGACCTCTCGTTGGCGTTGGGGGAGAAATGGAAGCTGGAAGTGGTTGAAAACCAGGCGGAACAGATAAATCAGGGGAAGTAAGACTTCCAGAGGCAACAACGGAGCCAATAACTGATGATGATCTAGCATCCCCTGTTGCATGTGTCCTGCCTGAAGCTGATGCAGATAACTGATTCGGCGTTCTATCAGCTCTTTTTGGCCTGCCACGTCCCCGTTTTACAGGTTCTGTTACTTCTTTCAGTGGCTGCTGCGATTTCTGTGGTGGTTCCACGGATTGTGGAGTCGGTGTCAATGCCGTAGATGTGGGGAGCACTGTGTCACTAGTGCTTCCAGGCAGATTATCTACTTTATCATTTGCCAAATTCTTTTCACCACTGCTTCCAGTCAGAATATCTACTTTATCATTTGCCAGACTCGTTTCACCAGTGATTCCACCCAGAATATTTGATGTAACATTTGCCAAGCTCTTCTCACTTCCTTCTTCCGTGCCTCTGGGAGAATCGGTTGACTCAGTCTGACACAGCTTTTCAAACTCCTCCTCTGTCAGTTGCTCTTCATAAGATCGAACCTGTGAAGTCGCAATTTTGCCAATTTAAAGTAAAAAGTATCATAGTAAGGTAAACAAGTGAATGTTAAAAAAAAAGACTCAACAAACCTCTCTTGCACGTTTGCCTCTTCCATATTGCTGAGTATCCAAGCCTCCTACCGAACCACCCTTTCGCTTCATGCCAACATTTGATTCTACTGCAACCATCGGGACGTTATTCATCTTCATTGAATCATAGAGCAGTTTTAAATCATCCTCAGTAACAAGACGAGAGGGGATAGGTGGTATGGGTGCAGAACTTTTTGACCCTGACCCATGTACCAGGCTCTTCCAGGTTTCCTACGGGGCAACAGCAGATAATAATAATATCATAAAACATCAATAAAGTGAAAGAAAAAAACACAAAGTTAAAGTTGTTCAGGACAAACATACCATCTCATCTTCTTTTCTTTGATTGTCGATGGATTCAAAAATATCAATCTCTGACTCCCTAGAAAGACAAGAGAAATGTCAGATCTACAAGAAATGCATGGAAATGTAAAGAGAGTTCCATCTACGAGTAGAATAGAAGAAACTCAAGCCATTTAAACAAGCAGTCACCTTCGGGCTATAATATCATTTAACGCATCATCGTCCAACACTGGAGCAGCCTCTTCTTTCTTTGACTCACGTAACAGGGATTCCAAATATTCTTTACGATCTTCAGCGCTGATACAAAACAACAAAGTGATTACATTAGGAAGTTGGTAGCTAGTATTCTTGAAGCAAAAAAAAAAAAAAAAAATGGATGTATATGGGTTCACCTTGTGTTATTGTCGAAGAAGCCAGCAGTTATACTCTGGTTAGCAACTCCAAGCTTGTGTTCGGCTGAAGCTCTAACTTGCTCCTCAACAGTATTGACCTTAACATACAAGAAAGAAACTAAGTCAGACGATTTTAATTAACTAAACATGTATCAGTCGGAAGGGTACACGCAGAAAACAAATTAAAATGTCCCATGACTACATATTAAGTCATGAAAAAAAAAAAGTAGATTTAAGAGAAATGCAATAAATTAAGAAGGCACAAAGATGAAAGAAAATAAAAAGTACATATCTTTACAGGAATTCAAATTCCTTGCCAACAAGAGCAAACTAACCGTTTCAAAACGAAGAACCAGAACATCTCTTTTCTGCCCAATCCTGTGAGCCCTTGCTTGAGCTTGTAGATCAACCTGAAATATATAATATATGCTCTTCAAAATCCGAAATGATGTCCACAACAAACTATAACTTGACATGAAGGACTGTTATGTCTAACCTGAGGATTCCAGTCGGTGTCAAATATTATTACGGTATCAGCAGCTTGAAGATTAACTCCTACTCCACCAGCCCGTATGCTGAATTCCCATGAACGATTCAGTTATCACATCCAGATATTTATGAGTATTACAGCTACTTTACTCTGACCGGTAGAGAATTTAATGGCAACGCTTACAACTTATAACTCTGATAGAGCATAGAGACTATAAAAGCGAGTTGTGAAATATCATGTGTTACCTCAACAAAAAAATGAAATATGGTGAATCAGGCTTGTTGAATCCGTCAATGAGAGCACCGCGATCACCCCCAGATGTGTGCCCATCTAACCTAAGGTATTTGTAGCCCTTGAAGGTGAGATAATCCTCCATAACATCAAGAAGCCTCGTCATTGTTGAAAAGAAGAGAACCTGCGGAAGCATGCAAAATATAACCAACATTTATATGCACCCGAAGCCAAATTTGGGTCAGCAGAGAGTTATAACAAATCATGGCATCACTGTGCATTTTACAAGAAATAGAATTCTGCATAGTTAAAGCAATAAAGGAGAAAACGTAGCTGAAATATAATAATTTTACTCCCACAACTAATATTGCTTCATGCAAACAAAGCAAATATTAATAAAATTCATGTGATCAATCTCTCAGAGACCAAGGCACTCGAAGGTACATTTCACGAAATCTCGTAATACAACAAGAATTTTAGAAGAAAAAAACATTCCATTAACATGATAGTGAAGAAAAATCATTACCCGATGGTCTGTTGCTTTGAGTTTGGGCAAGAGCCGGTCCAACATCTCAAGCTTCCCACAAAGTCTTATTACCGGAGGCAGATAATGCTCAGGAATTAAGCTATTGACCTAGAGAAAGTGTTTCACGCAGACCGTTCACCAAAACTTGTCTTAGTTCCGTACCCAGAAATTCTTTGCATTTATGTAGATTTTTCGGGAAATATATTACCTCCTCTGTATGAAGTTGGCTGAGATATGGATGATTGCAAATATTCCGAAGCTCCATCACTGAGTTGTGCACTGCACGAGACTGTAAAAAAGGAAAACTTACTAAGAAATAACTGAATACTATAAACAGATGACAATACGCAGATCAAAAACAGCACCTTAATGTTTCCAATTGAGCCCAGATTATCCTCAACCCTCTTCATCAACAGCTTCTGATATGCAGAGGCCTCGCACCGTATGAGTCTCTCTATCTTTTCAGGAAGTTCATTCTCAACCTACCAAAATAAATTAGATGATACAGTCAAATAAAGTTAATAAAAAATACTAAGATGCATACATTTTATGGCAATACCCTACCCGATCACTAAATAATGAAAACAATACTAGAACGAAATGGTTGGCGTCTACAAAAAAGAAAGGGAAAAGGAAAAATGTTGGATGGTACATATCATGTTATCAACCTTATGTTTCAGCCGCCGCAACACGAATGGTCGAAGAACTTGGTGAAGACGATTGATAATCAGGAGATTCTCCTCTTCTGATAGCAACGCCTAATCAAATGGCAATCATAAGGTTGTAGTTAGAACCCCCTGTTTTTAGATTAGTATACCCGTTGTTATCTGAATAAGACAGTCAATGCTACCTCTTCAGCAGAATTGTCTCCATTACTTTGAAATGGTTTGTTAAACCACTGTGAAAAGTCTTCTGATGAGTTGAATATATTAGGCAACAGGAAATTAAGCAGAGCCCACAATTCTTCCAGGTTATTCTATAAGAGATATAAATACTGAAATGATGAGCAATGGCAACAAAAATACTGAAAATCAAGAACATGGGGCCAAATAAAGGTTAGCAGGAGAAGGACTGAAAAAACTACCTGCAATGGCGTCCCAGTTAGCAGGAGTCGGTGGGAGCTATTGTAGTGTTTCAGGTCCGCATTTAATTTGCAAGATGCATTCTTTATGCGATGTCCTTCGTCAATAATAATGTAATGCCAAAGGATCTTGCTTAATTTAGGCCTATCATGCTTGTTCATTAGATACTCATATGTTGTCAGAAGCACATTGAACTTCTGATGAACAATTTGCTCCCTGCAATTAAAAATAATAATAATGAACCTAAAAAGCTTAGACATAAAGAACAACAGTAATTAAACTTTTCTCCACAGTACTTGAAGAGCTTGCGCCTCTCCTCCGGGGGGCCACAATAGACTATTTTCTGAATTGTAGGGGCCCAAAAGTTAATTTCTGACACCCAGCCAGGCAGCACAGAGGATGGTACAACAACCAAGAAGGGACCTCTATCATTTTTTGTGTCCATCAGATAGCAAATCAACGAAATAACCTGTAAAACGAAGAAACAAATTATAAGATAGGCATTAAAACAAATATATCATGTGCACATATGTGCCATTAAATACCTGAACAGTTTTCCCGAGACCCATCTCATCAGCTAGAATTCCATTTAAATGATTGTTGTACAGGGAAAGAAGCCACCTTAGGCCATTCATTTGGTACCTAAGAACGCAGATTTTGTAGTATTAAGTAACCCATGAAATACTCGTAAAAACTAGAAGGTGCTCAAATGTATAGTTATAGGAGTAAAAGAAGTGGGTATGATCCACTTACTCCCTTAATTTTCCACCCTTTAGGGAAGCTGGCTGCTCGTTAATACTTTCTTTTATGCTGTAAAAAAAAAGATTCCTTGTAAGTAGAAGAAAGATGATTCAAACAAAACTCTATTTTACAAACAACAAAACAACCATTCTGGATTAAAAAAAAGTGAAGGCAAAAAACGATAATCCATGTATGATTGAATCAGAAAACAATTAAACTAGTTGTTCATTTTGGACGATGTTTGGCAGTAATTATAGGAAGAAGTAATATTACCTGTGAGCCATCAAGTAGTATTTTTCATTGCTTTCCAGGTAGTGCTGTTTAAAACACAGACGGTAACAACCAAACACATCAGAAAAGATGACGTAAGGCTCAAAGAAAACGAAATCTTAAGAACGATGACTTGCCTTTGCCTGGTCACTCTCATCATCATTTTCAACCATATCCTCAACAGGTGCCTCAACTGCCTCATTCTCAAATCGACTGGCCAAAGATTTTGCCTCCTTTAACTTGGAACCAAGCTTTTGAAGGTACTTCTCTGTCTCTTTGAGTAGTTGCATTACTCTATCTGACTTCGCATCCTATATATTACCAATCGACCTAATATCACAGCCAAGAAGAAGCGACACAACCGTAAAACTTCAAAAGTTAGTTCAGAGATCAAACCTTCACCATACGTAGATAACCCTCCACATCATTAATCTTTAACAAATTAATCTTCTCCCGTTGAATTTTGTCGATCTTTTCACGATGAAAACGTTCCTTTCTTTTGTGGAACTCCTTTACATATCTATTGAAGCCCTTCCACCTTTCTCTCCTAGCTTTGGATAAATCATCTAGCCTTTCCCTTCAATCAAAATTTGAGGTTTAAGAAACAATTAAAACAAATAAACTGAAGTTACTATTAGGTTCACAAAACAGGTCAAGAGAGATGGAAAACTAAATGCACGTACTTGTGAACTTCTATCTCCCCAAAGAACTCCTTCTGCCTCTCACGAATTCTCCTCTGTCGCTCTTCCTTCATCTTCTGCTCATACTTCTCAAGCTGTTTAATCCTCCGGCCATGCTTGTGTTTTTTATATGACTTTAGGTTCTCAACATCAGTTGCAATAGGTTTGAAGTAATTGTAAAGAAACTCACTGCGTCAACAAATCAACAAAGTACTAGCAATTGAGAGATGGTATGCCAAGCTTAACATACACGAATTAAAAAGTTCGCATTCTCGTCTAGCAATTACAGAATAGCTCGTTGAATGTCCGATATATTTTTGGGATAATAGGCATTCAAGAAGATGAAGCATCTCTCGAATGAGAAATACAGTCTAATATTTGTTTTAAACCAAATTACGAACAGTTACCTCCTCAAACGACGTTGCAAATTCAACAGCTGAAGCTTTTTCAGTTCTATGACACTCTTGGTCTTTGTAGATATATCCTCAGACGAAGTAACAGATTCCTGCATATTAAGAGATGCACTTTAGTAAAATCTCACATCCAAATATATCTGCGCAACCAAATAAAGTAATGACACAAGTATAACTAATTAACTTCAAATGTGAAGGCAGTTTCGGAACAATGGCCCGAGGCCAAAACAAATAATCCTAGGAGTTAGTTCAGATATGAAAGTGAGAAGCAAATGCACAAGACAAGCAAAGTTTACATGGTCAAGAACTTACAGGATCACAATACCATGACTATCTATATAGAGAAATACATATTTAAATATGACTATTGATCTTCCAATTACAAGAAAAAGGATAGAGAACCACCAGACCAACACGTCAAAAAATAAGCACTAATAAGAGATAGGAGTTAAACTCTTACAAGAAAAAGTAACACAAAAGAGAGGGCAAGAGAGAGACCTTCAACTCATTGAACCGTGCACCAATTGCCTGGTCTGCTTTCTGCTGTTTAAGACCCCAACTCCGATCAACCAAAAGTCTCTTATTCTGTCGATCCATAATCCACTTCTGTGACATGGTGTATTTAGGCGGCGGTTGCATGTTACCTTCCTCTTGATCTGCAAGGTACCATACATCCATGTTAGAAAATTATCAACCACATTAATACAAACTTTTCTACTCAAAAGAGTCAGTCCAAACATCAACAATTTGCTCATCTAAAGTAGTCCACTGACCTGAAGCACATAATTCGTCTGATTCAAAAGTGAAAGTTGAGGCGTCATTACGGTTGATAGTTCCGGCCCACCCCACCATCTCTACTGGTGCGTGTTTGGTTACACCGCCTGAAGAAGAAGCCAGCTCAGAATGACTACCAGAAACCTGATTTTGCGCTGGAGCGTCGGGAGTGTTAGATTGCAGAAGAAGCTTTTGTCCATCAGGAAATATAGCATTGGAGATTTTGTCCTCCAATCGTGGCATAACTGTTTCTTTTGATGAGAAGTCCATTTCGGCCAATCTTCCGGTAGGATTATCCATTCTTGCTGATGGAGCTGAGACTTCGACAATGCTACCCGATTCACTTAGAGAATGTGTTCTTCCTTTCTGATCCGAAAGTTCTCTGCGGAAACCATCTGTATTGCAAGACAATTACAATCCAAGAGAACGTATATCGAAAATAACTAAGAAAATAACCTAAGGGAAAGCAAATAAATTACCATCTTTGGGGAAGGCATTTCCAAGGGCAATATCAATGTGCAGTTTCTTTGGCATCAATCCATTTCTAGGAGAATGAAGTCAGTCAGAGTTTTTCAGAGTAAGAATTGCGAGACCGAGTAAACAAGAGGTTATGAAACTGAAATTACCTGAGAGCTAAGAACACAAGGCACTGGGCTCTGAGCTGCTTCAATTGTTGCTCTTTAAAAAGTTGACCTGAAGGCGGAAAATCCTCTGCTGCGACAGATTTTCCAGTATCCCTATGAGCTGGAGGCCTGATTGCTGTGACTTCACTGTTTTGCCATCCACCCTGCCATTGAAATGAACATGCACCGCCAAGGATGGTATTATTATTGACTAGGCATCTCCTCAAATTTCAAAATGTTTAGTGCATCGAATAAGATTAGTGCAAAGTCGTACCATGTGATTTTAACAAGAAAAATGCTATGAATGTAGCATGTAATGGAAACCAAAGGATGCCAACAAATTTATAGCGTGAAGGTATGTACCTGAGGAGTTGTGTATGCATCTGACGACAACCCGACATGCAAATTCTCAGCGTCACCTGGGTTTTAGTAAGAAAAAAAAGTATTCAATTAAGCTAACCAGTTAGCACTTAACAGCATGCACAAACAACAATAGTAGGCTTCAATGATGTGTGCGTTTTAGACAAGGTATCATTCCTACCTGTAGGCGGCATTTCTACTTTGCTCATTTTCCTAGTCTGATCATCAACTGTCCCATGAGTCTCAAACTGTTGAGAATTATCCATATTCTGATCCCACGAAAACGATGATTCACCCCTCTTTCTCTTTGCACTTGACTTGACATCTCTTTGATTCATCGTCTCACTCCTATCGTGAGACTGGGCATTTCCTGGCTTAGAATCCAAGCTGGATGGACTCTCATGATCGAAGGATCTATTACTTCGAGCTCCAGGCCCTTGGTAAACGGCCTGTGATGCACTGGTTGATCCACCAAGCTGCCTACCAGAAGTGAATGCATCATATTTTGACATCTCATTTTCAACTAGATTTGCTTTGGACTCATTGCTAACACCAACAGCTTGAGAAGACCCTGTATGAAAAATTAACAGAACAATAAGACACTAGCACACTAATTTTCACATTAAAAAAAACAAAACTTTGAAAGAGAAAATATACCAGCAATATGTGCAGACCCAGAATCTTCCATTTGGGTACTACCACCAGCAGGAGGAAGACGCGAGGACGTCAAAGCTTCAATGTCAAGACCATGCTGATTGACGACAGTCTCCATGGCCCTAGGAGTTTTGAGAAGAAAATATCAGAAGAAGTTAAGCGAAAACATAAACAATATCCCCAAGAGCATAAAACATAGCCTTAACTCTGAATAACTATTTATCACATTACAGGTAAAATTACGACTTTCATGAAAGTTTAGGTACTAAACCTAGTAGTAGCTTTTGGAAATTTTTGCAATTAAATCAAGGCAAGCTTTGTAAATGAGAAAAACCACCAAACCCTTAAGTCTCGGCTAGTAATATATATCACAAGATGTAACCACCTCTCAATCACCACAAATAGTGTCTTATCACCGAGACTATTGCAAAACAATACCTTGATATGACTTGATACGGCATTGAGTGCTCCTTCCCACTGGTTTTCATGTGCTGCAATATCTGAAGAAACCCAAAAGAATACATAAAGTTAAAGCAAATGATTAATAGCTCAAATCAAAAAATTAAGCCACACACAGACACACACCACATAGAGTTTTGTGGCTAGCTTTGAAGGTTCATCTTTGGAGTCTTGAATGAGCTTGTGCAGAAACTTAGCTGCCTCCAGCTCAATATTATGCGAAGAAGACGACATCTTCAACTGTTATTACACCATCATGTAAGAAAACCCTGCATCACTGAACACCCAAACTTATAATTAGATAGCAATTTCCGACAAAACAAAAAAAAAAGTTATCATCTTTGGTTCGTAATTAAGTTAATAAAGCGAGAAAGTCGACGACTTTCCCTAGAAAAATGCAACCCTAATCAAAGGAGAGTTGATTAAACCCAGATCGAGAAGAGGGCTCACAACAAAACCCTAGAAAGCGATTCAACAGAAAAATAGTAAGAAGGAAGAGATTTTAGAGGTTTACCCAGTCGGAGATCTGAAGGTATGAGCGATGAAGGAGAAGGGAATTTTGAGGCGTTAAGCGGTGAGGTGAGATTGGAGTGAAGGGGTGTGCGAAATGGCGTCGTAGCTTTGAGGAACCAAGAAAATAAAGCGAATAGAGTTCCTACTTGTATAATGAAGTGCCTAATTATAAACCACTGTATTATTTTAAAATAAAAAAAAAAAAATCTTCAACATTTTTCTGTTGTATAACAGATAAATTACATTCTCTTGATTGCAATATATAGATATTTTAAAAATATTTTTTCATAATTTAAAGTAACTTTTAAATTTAGTAAAACTATGCAACCAATTATATTTTTTAATTGTTGTGATTAACTAAATTATTATTAATTATATTTTTAATAATATTAAGAAATTAAATTAATATTTTTAAATATTAACATCATATGTTTTCGAATAAACTTAGAATAATCTCGCAAAAAAAAAATTAAAAATAAAAATAATAATGTAACAGAAACATTTCAAAATTTGTTAACATTTATCTAATAATTCCTTATATAATTATTTTATTATAAGAATAATTGCTCTTAAATTCTTATATGATCTATTATTCTATCATATTTAAAATTATTTTGTCAAAAATATATTTAAAATTATTTTATTTTATGAGTTATTTTTACAACTAAATTTGTATAACTTTATACGTGATTATAATTTCAACATTAATCTCAAAACTCTTAAGAATGTGATAATTTGTGCAATTTATCAGGCCCAACTTTTATGAAAAAATGATTTTCTATGATAGATTGAGAACATGATAATACAACATTGCTATTTTGCATTATTATGGACAGCTCTTCTGGCTTTAGGCTCATGGCTACTAAAGTTTGGGATGATCATCTAAATCTTTTAGAGCACCCCTAAAGAGAGGTTTTAGTTCTGTAGTTCGCAAAATACATCAATACTATTAAATTTGGAACATATCCAATTGATAATAGTTAATTAAGTCTAATTTATAATTTAAATAATACATTTTTTTTACTACAACTGCAAAGAAAATAAAATGTAACCACCACTTTATTTGCTAAATAATTAGCGGGCACCACCATAAAATGTAACCAACACTTTTTAAAATAACTTACAACCTAAATTCTCGGTACCAACACATATAGTACAGACAATTTTTGTTTTTGAAAATATATATTACCTACTGTTATATTATATATATATATATATATATATATATTAACAAATATTCATTCTTTTGGGTTTATATCAAACGTGGTTTGATCCTAAAATTTTTTTTGTTTAATCATCATTCTATGGATTTAAGTGGAATCAATTTTGAGTATTGTATAGTTTTAAATGGACATCTAATCATAACATTAAATAATTATATATAAAATCAAATCATGAATATGTAATGAAAATATATAATTTTATCTATTTAATTTTTAAAAAAATAATAACTATACTTCATTATTTAAAAAAAAAAATAACCTCTATTTAATAATAAAGTAAAAATTAATGTATAAAATGATTATGACACAATTGTATAGTTATGCAACATCACAAATTAAATACATTTATCAAAACTTCTTACTAATAATTTTTTTTTAAAATATTATACACAAACATGTAAAATAATTTATTAAACATATAAGAAAAAATTGTAGACAAATGTTATATTTACACAGAAGCCAAAAAAAATAGAAACCAACATTATATCGGCACTCAAAGCACGTGTTAAGATCTAAAATAGATAAATATGATTACAAGGAAATGAACTTATGTTTATATAATTACAAAGAACTGAGTGAATGCCGGAAGGTCAATTTTTAAATTGCTTTTATTTTATTAAATAGATTTTGATTAAGATTTAGACACAAACATGATTATACAGAAAAACATAATTATAATTCAAAAAAATACAAATATAAAAATTAAATTTCTAAAAGAAAAAAAAAAACAAAATATATACCCGCCTTTCGAAAGGCGGGTCAAGATCTAGTATATGTTTTTATTAGTATTTCAATTTAATTATGAGATTATTAATTTTACGGGAAATCCAACTCAAAATTTTTGTGTGGATATTGGGGGTGTTCTTGTACCCTACTTGAAGATGGCTCTCAAATATGTACTAATATACCTTCTTCATCTTGTTTTTGTTATGGTATCTTGGTTTCAGTGTGATTTGTCATCCTCTAGCTGAATTTCTCGTTTATTCTCAAGTTATCTTCTTTCTAGTTTTTTTCAAGTCTCTTCTGTTTAGTTTTTTTTTTTAAATCTCTCATGTTTAGTTTTTTTTTTTAAATCTCTTATGTTTAGATTTTTTTTATCTTCACCGATAACTTACTTTTTGTCTCTGATGTTAGTGGTGATTTCATGTGGTCAAGGTTTTGTGACCTTCTCTTCTAATCTTGGTGTTTCCTCCTTTTAAATTGTGTTGTAATTTGTGGATATTGGATTCAAGCTCTGCAGGAGTTTAGAATCTCTTCACTTCCATTACCTTGCTGCTCATAATCTTATGGTGTTTTGTTTCCTATGCATGTATATTTCTGGTTACCTTGTTGCTCATAATCTTATGGTGTTTTTCTTCCTATGCATGTACATTTTTGGTTAGTATTCAAGCGTGTTCTTGTTATGTGTTATTTTCGATTAAGGTTTCATGGGGTTTATGTAGTTCCGGGTCGAAGCTACATTTATCTTGGATTTGTGATGCGGTTTTACCTCGGATGTTGTGATTAGTCTCTTGAAACTCAATGATTTTCTTTTTAACACTGTTGAATTCAAACTTTAAAGAAGCAAAGTTGTGAGAGTACAAAATCAAAGTAATAATAGTAGATACTTACCAGTAGGTGATATAAGTAAAGCTCAAACGAGCAAAAACTAACAATCCATACTAAAAAATATCCAACGACCATACTAGTTTTTGTGGACTAATTCCATGGCATCTCTTTTTCAAACCCAAATTCCTTCGTTAGTTAAAGTTGTAACAAAAAGAAGCATTACTTGAAATCTCCATAGCAATAAGATTCCTCTATAGAACGACCATAGTCTGAGTTTACTGAGAAAATTTCAAAAATTTCAATGGTCTCCACGCGATTCTTTAGTTGAGAATATTCCATCGAGTTGAGAGTTCATTTCCAAGCCAGTACAAACTGACGGGAGAAAAGATAAATATGAATCTCTTGCTTTAACTTTGTCCTAAGACAATCACATATCTCGAAGAAATCACAAGTGCAATTCAATTAACCTACACCAACAACGGTTGATGCAGAATATTGTGCAAGCTTTAACCAAAAAGAGAATGGACCTAACACGAAAAGGTGGAGCAAACTTGGAGCTCCACCAACCTGTCAAACAAGCTTCAACTAAAAAGAACCACAATACAATCTTTCAAACGAAAAGAGATGGGAACCCGTGATGAAATGAACATGAGCACAACTCGAATATAACACATCAATGAAGACTAGCATCAGTTCAACGAATCGTCAAAGGCTTGAACAAACATAAATTCTTCAATATAAGAAAATATAAGGCCCCAACAAAAAATAAGACCAACCATCACATCCAGAAGCGGAGGTATATTGAAGGGAGGGGGGTCAGCTGATCCCACTTGATTTCAATTACGTAAAATGTTTTGCTCAAATGAAGAGTACTGACCCCAGCAAAAAATTTCAACTGACCCCAATATTTTGTAGTCGACATGTTACTCCAACCAAAAAAACTATCTTATCATCTTAATTTTAGATAAATCCATACAAATAACTTTAGCTACATAAAATATATTTCTCAATAAAGGAAAATGTCACTTATTTGTATTTATTTCTCTTGATTGAATTGCAGAGCATACTAAAATTAGAGGAACTATTAACGTCTTAAAATTAAAATTAATGACATGTATTTTTCTTTTTAGATTTGATGTTTATATTAAAACAACTATTCTTTGATTCAGATTTTTATACTATTAAAATGGGTATACTAATAACTTATATCAAATATCAATATATGATATTCCATAATCGATTAATTTAATTTAAATTAGTAATTTTTTTTAACGAACTAAAATATTAATCCTAGTTATAATATATAACTCCAAATATGTTTTAATGTTTCAGTAATAGTAAATAATTTATTTTTTTCTAAAATTATACGTAATTATAATTTAAAATATTAATTTATAAGTTATTGGTATTTTAATATTAGTTTTTATATAAGATTGACCCCAATTGAAAAAATGTCTGGCTCCGCCACTGCATCCATGACCAGGTTCACCACTGCACACAACAATGAAAAACCCCAACAGCGAACATACCCACCACTGCAAAAAGAAATTCAAAGTAGAAGAGACTGTAACACAAACCATGAGACATGAGGAAGTAAGGCTAGAGGTATGAGGAGATTCAACCCGATTGCATCCGTCGAGCTTCACTTGTCACCCATGAGGAAGATACAAACCTCAAGACTCTATCTCGGCTCAGTTGAGCCTAGAACCAAGAAAGTAGAGACGACATCACAAGGTCCGGCCCAGTTAACTTTAAAAGATTTTGGGCTGGAAGCATCAGCAAAACATGGTCCCTGTTAATTAAATAAATCATAGTATAAAGTTAATTGTGTTGCTAATAGGATTCGGACGGTCCACCTTCCAAAACACCAAAATCAATATTAATCAACTGAGCTACTGAGCATATTAAAATATTGGCCAAATATATATATATGCTAGGTGTTTTGCACGCACATGCGGGCATAATTTTCGTACAATTTATTATTAGTCTATATTTTATTAATTCAAACCAATATAATAAGTTATGATTTATGTTTTAAAATTAATTATAAATGACACATAACAAAATATTTTTAAAAATATATTTTTTACAAATGTGTTGCTTTAATTTATTTTAATTATAATTTTTTCTATCTTAATTTTTATTTCTATAATAATAAATATATTTTCAAGATAACAATATAATACATAAGAAGTATCTTATTTTCTCAAAATATAATTTTTAATAGAAATTTGTTTTTATTTTATAATAATTTTTATATGAAATTGTTAAAAATATAACAAATAATCAAAATTATCTAAATCATAGAGAAAATACAAATCATATAATTCAATTAAATTTTC